AGAAAAAACATGGCGATTAGAAAAAACATCTTGTCCTTTATGGTTGCAAACCTTGAAGAGAAGATATGCATAACAATAGCGATTCACTTGGGGGTGCATGTCTGAGGTATCGTTCAGTGGCGCCATCCATGTATTGAAATGGAGTAGATATACGTGGGTGGATTGGACTAACAAGATATGGCTAGTATATGTAGATAATGAACGGTGAGGATCACGCTGCAGAGGCTGATTATTTTGTACTGAAAAGACTGGCATTTATAGTCTCAACTTCCCAGAGTAAAATATGCCCGCTGGCTCTAAGCCTATGAGTATTGCTAGGCAGTATAGAATTCTGTGAAAATTACTTTTAATACGGAGCCAGGGATGTACTGAGAATTCGTTGGTGCCTACAACCGATTCGTCTTGAATGCGCGTCTTGATTAGCAATACGGGACAGATTACATGTATTTGCAAAACAGTGCATACTTACGAAAGGCAAATGTAATGTGCAAAATAATTAGTGTTGGGAGAGAATCAGTTACAACGCAAGCGTCAGTCTTCAAACCATTGAATAATCCTGGTCTTGTTAATTTGATGCACTTTAACTGAAACAGAATATTCTACTGTCTACATGTTTTGATCAACAATTTTGTAAAGAATATGTGGGTTTTATTTTGCAGAAGGTGACAAAATTGAATTTTTTATTTAAGAGTTAATCAATTCCTGATTTTTGAGTTTCTGAAAAAATAATGCTAGAGGGCATAACAAAGTACCCAGATGTTGATTTCAAAAGCAGCACAGTCCTATTCACTGAACAATGCAAAGTACAGAATTCAAATGCCAAAAAGGTTCTTGATAAATATGTACAGAAGCATGGTGCAACTTATGAAACTTGTGAAGCTGGTAGATCAAAAAATAGCAAGTAAACGTCGCTGTATATTACATACCACTGAGACCGGGGTAAACTATTCCATTCACCGATCCATATGCCATAAAAATATACAATATATCTCTTATTTATTGCATCGGTGTGACTGACGTGACATGAAAGCCTATCGACTAAATAAAGATCATGATGTTTTTGGTAAACTACATTACATATAAAACATTGGCAATAAATTCATAAAGAGACAAGCTTTGACAATGCACAGTAGCCGTTCTATATTTAATGCGAAAAGTAATCACTAGCAGCGATCCAGAAATGTAGCTGTAGATTACTGGCAACGTACTGCGATGAGCTGAGTGTATTTGGTTGAATCACTAAATCAAAGTAAGTTTAGAAAGAACTCCCGTGTGCTGAGAGTATTGGAGACATATTAAAAATTAATTAGCCTTCTAAACAAGAAGCTTGGCAACTAATATTTGTCTGCTATTTAAGATGTACATTTACAACATGAAAACAGATGTGATCCACAGGATTGAAATTTATAATTTAGAAAATATATTTGATTTTACATCTGTGGTTGTAAGTCTAATTTATTGCAGGGCACCTGTACTACAAGTTAAATCTGATTTTTTGAGATATCAGAAATTGGTTAATAATAATAATTAGATAATCAATATGCATTTTCAGTCATGTTTGTGGATGTATAGAAATCCACAACTAACTATACTGTTGCATTGTCTTAGAGTATCTATGTACCAAGTTTCATTGAAATGTAATGATTAGTACTTGAGATATCAATGGAAAAATTAATAATTGACTAATCATTATGCAAATTAATATGCATAGATTTTTACCCAAAACTAATCTGGTCTGCACATTGTCCAAGAGTATCTATGTACCAAGTATCAAAATCCAAAGAGTAGTTCTTTAGATAATTATCATGCAAATTAGTTAATTAACATGCATACATTCAACCAAAACATAATCAAATCTGTGCATTAATCTGGACCATCTATGCATCAAGTTTACTTAAGAACCAACATATGGTTCTTAAGATATCAGTGGAACAGACACACACATACTGTACATATACATACATAAAGATGCACTAAGAGCAAAGACTTCCATTGTGTGATTTTGCACACACAAGTCAAAAATGTAATGTGCAACCAAAATTCAGCATGTAGAATCATTGTACTGAGTACAGAATCATGCAAGTCATAGATTAGAATCAGCATGTACATGAAAAACAAAATGGCCACCAGTCGGCCATTTTTGTTTGAGTCTTGAAAAAATACACCTGTAACTCAATATGGATAATCATGATACAAAGTTTGAATGAATGAGGAGCAAAATAAACACAAATCAGCCATACTTGATCAAACTGTAATGAAAATTGATATGCATATGTACATGTAAGTCACCATACATGGTCTGTGTGTTAAGTTTGAATGTGATCGGTAAAAGCATTTCTGGAAAATGGCTCCAGCCAGAACCCAAATTAATAGTCCCCGGTTTCAAACTTTGTTGGTATAAATTGCTGGTTCCTTAATCAATTAGTTTCTGGTGTCTGTAACTGTGTTGCAACATTTGTAAATCTTATTTAATTTAACAAATGGTTAATCGAATGGAAAGGCATGAAAAGTTACATCAGTAATTTCTGGATATTTTTTTTTGATGAACATCAAGAGACATTACAGTACGATCTTTTAGTAGCACATGTACATTTGCATTGTCGCATGTCAATATTTTATCCATGAAAAGAAATATTTTACATGGATCGCTGTTGTTCTCAATGATGCTAATAATGGTGTACCAATTTCAATTTCAATTTCAATTTCAATTTCAATTGAAATCAACCCTTGCTCTGTTCAAATCCAGGCATTTTGTAATGCCCCCTGTCATGTTTTTTTTCAAAAACTGGTATTAAACTCAAAGGTAGAAAATTAAAATAAATAAGCCAATTTATTTTTGAATACATACATACGTACAAGATAGAACATCTATATTTTTGTATACTCCAATACCTTAGAAATATAGCTCTTATTACGAGGCCATGAGCCAAGACACTTAAAGCACCACAGTGGTTGTGCGAGTGTAATGGGTTTTTTTAATACATGTTGCGTGGGATGACACGACACGATGCCTTAACACCTACCTATTGATTTGCCAATTTGGCGGTACAACAAAAGTTTTTTTTTTTCTTCAGCAACTTGCAAGCGTAGAATCTGCATGTTCAATAATTGAAGAAAATGAACGTTGTTTCCTTCACTCATATCGATAAATCGGCAATCTGGTAAGATGACCTTTGAAAAGCAGTAGCCAACGTGAAATAAATCGCCCCCCAGTTACGGCAAAGGAGGAACAAAATTGCTGATGTGTAATTTTCATAAAAGCTCAGAAAAACAGCTCAATAAAGGAAGAGAAGCAACAGCGCATACCCAAATGTCAGAGAAAGATGAGTCCAATAACAGAAGCCCAGCAGCAATATTGTAACTACTATTTTGTATCGACTATATGTAATGCTAATCATTAGAGATGTATTTTAAAGAGATGGCAGCATGTATTTGTCAGGTAACCTGTACTGCTCTGTGTAAGGTAACAGACAAAAAGCTGTTGTACATTTCCTTGGTAAATGCATTGAAGACAGATGTACCGGTAATGATTGTGCATAAACAACAGAGAAGCTAACAGGAAAGAAAACACAACTCATGCACAGCACAACAAAAAATATCAGTTTTGAGTACACTATGTCCTGCTGTGAGATCACCCACATATCTGTCATATTTTCTCTTTTAGTACCACATGCACATAAATTAATGACAGGTGTATCTACGGTCAAAATAAATCGTAATTTTATGATCTATCAAACAATAAATGCAATAATTTTTTGGTTGATGTGTGAGATTCTCTTCTAACGTCTGTTTACCCCACCTGCATAGTGTAATGTCCCATTGCATCCTAATTAATGATATTGTCTGTGTTTACCTACGGAGTGAAATGATCCGCAAATAAACTACATCCCTCCCTTCCTCAAATTTACTGCAAAATGGAATATTCCACCCACAAATACAATATGACTGGGGGTGGGGTGGTGGATAAAATTGAGGTGTCGCTAAATCTAAAACATGTAGAAATAGAATAGAATGTGTACTATCCAATCACAGAAACTTTTTGAGGTTATGAATAATAAATAGACACTACCTTATTTGGTGAGAATGCAAGTGCATGTAAATTAAGAAACCAGAAGAAGAAACACCATAGCCTAAGAGCTGCAGGTTAACCAAAAAGAATTGCTCAATATGGCAAAAAATTTACACTCAAGTGACCTTGTTTAAAACAGACTGTCAAATTAACAAAGTGGCGTCTTCTTTCCTCTAAGTTTCAGTGAAGCTGAAGTACGAGACGTCTCAGCTGCTAATTCTCACACACACAAGAAGCATTATGCTTACAATTACCGATAACCATAGCAACTGACAAATACAGACTTACAAAAACCTGTTAAAGTGAACACCTGTAAAAAGACAGCAGTGGTCATTTAGGGCCAACTTATTATGAAGGCTAATAGACGAAATCAATACTCAATACTCCAATCTGAGCAAGTCCAAAGCTGATACTGTTTTTTGATTGTGATGAAATCTACTTGGTTCAAGTGACAGCTTTCAAGAGACAGGTGGATTTTCTTATCAATATTTAACTCATTTTAAATTTTTGATCAAATTAAAGTAATTTCTTTATTAAATTTTTAAAATTATATGAAAAAAATTATGGAGGATTAATATTGTGAAAGATGACAAAAGTTGATGTGCAGTGATCAAGTTTTATTTATGCTGATAAATTCAGACACAAATCATAAACAAATGAACTGCAATCTCAAGAAGTACTAATTACTGTAGAATACCTTATTTTCACTGGGAATTAATTTTCGCTATTTTCGCTTTAGCAATGATTCAATGAAAATAAAATCCAGTGACTATACCGTTGTTCTTATAGTTTACATTCAACTTGTCAAAAATCAGTAAAAATAAATTGCCTACAAAACACCCAAAAAGTCTATTCAGCAAAAATGTAATCCCGCTAAAATATAATGCTTTACAGTAATATAAATTGAAGATGGCCACCAAATATCACTTACTTGTATAGCTATTGGTCAGTAACGGCTTACAGCAGACTCTTCACCAACCGTCAAAAAGGCATCAGTACCACATTAGGTGATCGGAAATTGAACTATAAAAAAATAAAAGAATGCAAAAAATAAACAACACATAGCGAGATACAAAATACATGAACGCTGCTCTGACTACCAGTAATCACAAATTCACGTAAAGCACACATCTTGCACTCACTGGATGTCATCTTTGAGAGAATCTTTATTTCAAACAATTCACTCGCAAATCACCTCATCCAACAGTAACAACATATAAACCAGCACTATATAATTTTCATTCATTGAAATATCCATCAGAACATGTTTATATTTGCTCCTGATGCAGTTTTCCTGCTCGTCCATGATAACACAATTTGAAACCCTATTTTTTTTAAATTATGAGTATAATTCTACCTAATAAGAAGGCTTAGTTGTTGTTTTTGTACTTGCGCAAGCTATACAGAAAAACATTTATATTACATTTAGTTGTTTTAAAATATAAATTCATCTAATGATCTTTGTTATAAATTTATTGAATGATGTTGTGTATTAAATATATAGCAACATAGACCATCGAGTAATACTAATATCTGTGCTAACCCTAACCCATATGGCTATTCTATTATTAACAGCGTACTTATACACATGTATTACTGTACTTGGTGTAATATTCATTGCAAAGAACACCCATAGCTTCTATTGAACAATAACGAAGTAGCAACCTCTCAAAAAGACTTGCTGGGAGTTTTTTTTTATAGTGATGAGATGGCTTTTTTTTTTCTCCATATTTCAAATTGTTACTTAGAATTCAATAGGCACTTACATGTAGGACTTAATCGATACAGTATTTGCTCTACTAAAAGCACATCTTAAACATTAAACATAAAGTTTTATTTATCATATATTGGATTATCTAAATATTACTTATTT